TGTATTCATCATTGTCGAAAAAAATAGTTTACGGGCGAAGCCATCGCAAGACTTTTTTTATTTCGTTAATATTTGCGATCGACTGTTTTCGCAGTGTTTTTACAGTGCAGTTTGTTCGTTTTCAGGATTCCTCGTCAAATAGAACAATCTTATTGGACTTCAGAAATGGACTTCTGATTTGAACAACGATCCGCGCCTTTTCAAAACGGAAACGGCTATCGGGTTCAATATTCAAACAATCAATCCTTTATTGCATTCTTGAAACGACTTGCGGGTTCAATATCCAATTGATCAATTCATTCATGTAATCTTGAGGGGTACGCTTCACTAAGTTTGACTGTAAGAACTGCATATTTAATTTTGACGATTTGACTTAAAGGCTCACATCCCGAAAATGATTTTTTTATTCAAAGCAGTTCTAGACTAAAACTCCTTTTGTGGCTTCAATACTGCGGTATGAAAGATACAAAAACGATCAAGTGTTGACTCTTATTTTATTGTTTGTTGACAAAAGATGGTCTTAGGATTTAAGACCACTGACTGCCTGTTCGTTTCCTCAAAGTTGCAAGGGAACCACAACAAACGATCTGCTTCGTTTTAATTCTTTTTTTATATATATATATATATATGTAAGAAGGTGTTAATGGACTACCGAAAGGTCCAGCTGAATTTATCGAACGGTTGTAAATCAAGGACCAAAAACAGCAGCTGTATCATGCATACAAAACTGTCAACTTTTGTACATGTAAACTACTATTTATCGATAAATCAACGCACTTAAAAAAATTGAATTTTTTAATCATGTCCTTGGGTATGCCATCTTCAATCGTTTTAAATATTCCCTGCCAACAATCTAAATCGAAACAATTTTCAGTTTTCTTCGCATTTATAATGTCAACCAGACACATGACTCACAATTTGGAACTTAATTTAAATGGTTTTCAAGATAAAACTTAGTGATAATAATTTTGAACGACGTTTCGACCTCGCTGAGGTCATTTTCAAGCTGATGCGGAAAAGGAAAATTTTTACATATATGTACTAAATTCAAGACGTGGGAATGATAAAGACATGATTGCATTATCAGAGTCACATCGACGTGAGATATAAACAATCATTGCTTAAAACAATGCCAAATCGTGCCTTTAAGTTGTCATCTAACTGGCAATTTTTTCACCAAGAGTGCGAACGTCTCACCGAAACCCTCTTGCGACTCAAGTACCCAACTCAACTACTGCATTCGACCATTAATGATTTCATCATGAAAAAAGTGTCTGGGGATCCAGGGATCAATCAAACGTCTGACGAGAAAAAAAAATACCCGTGCGAATTATACTTCCTTTTAAGGACCAAACATCAGCAAATTCCGTACGAAGGCAACTTGGCGACCTAAACCGAAAAATTGAAACTGACATTTCTCCTGTGTACACTAACAGAAAGATCGGATATGAGTTAAAACCAACGGAAAAGAAGCCCAACATCATCAATCAGCAGCGCGTTGTGTATTATTTTAAGTGTGGTCTGTGCGATGCAGACTATGTCGGCTACACATGCCGGCACCTCTACCAACGTGCTCAAAAGATATTGTTGCAGAAAATGTCTCACATCCNCGCCTTTTAAGTGTGTGTGAACTAAACAACAACAGCTAAAAGCACTGAACAATCCATCAAGACCAGGTGGTCAGTTCAAACTATTTCAGAGCTAACTCATGGAGAGATGGTCAGGAGAAGCTTGTCGAGAACATCAATATTTGGCCTGAAAACACGGCACTTTGATCGTATCTACTATTCGGTAGCTTTCCTTCTAATCTTTCTTTCCTTCGTACCGCTTTAAGTACTCTGGCTTTTGGCTTTGGAATACAATCCTGGCAGTTTTGAAATGACATATAATATTTTGAATTTTACTGGCTGGTTTCTCTCTATTTTAACAGTAACTGGAAATGGCTTCGTAGTATTCCTCATCGCTAAAACTCGTAATCTACATTCGGCGGCCAACTGGTTTATCGTTTCCTTAGCAGTGGCTGATTTTATAGTCGGTGCAGTCGCCTTTCCAGTGGGTTATCACTGTGTAAACACAGCCCATTGCAACAGGATAGTCATGATAGTTTGGATGGCTTTATTCTGGTTTTTCATGCACGCCTCAGTCACAAATCTTTGCGCATTAACTTGGAATCGCTATCTTGCCATCGTTCATCCACTCAAATACCATACTTCTATGACCGTAAAACGGCCTGGTATGACCATCTTAGTCGCATGGTTGATTCCTGTGGCACTTTCTTCGTGCCTTTTCGTAGGAATGTTAACAACAAGCTCCATTACTGTCCACAAAATTATGCGGTTGACCTGTGTCTCAGCTTTCGACATAATATCATGTGTGATAGTTCTTTATGCCGTTGTTCGTGTCCTACTCGTCGCACGAGCACAATCCCAACAAAAATATGTAACGGAACGACAACTTAGATCTAGCTTCGGCTTGACCTTACGCAGAAGAAACAAGTACGATACGGCTGCAGGCTTTATAATTGCTGTCAATGTGTTTTTCCTGGGTTGTTATGCCGTGGTAAACTATCTGGTAATATGTCTCACTATATCTTCTTGCAATGTGTCTGGCAAATCAGCGCAGGTTGTCAGTTTGTTACTGATTCTAAACTCTATGGTGAATCCCATGGTTTATGCTTTTCTGAAGAAAGACATTAAAAAGAAAATAAAAATTCTCATCTGCAGAAAAAACTTCGGTGAAAAGCGTAACCATGGCGAGACTGGGTTGTAATAGGAATTTGAAACCTCTTTTTTAAGAATTTCGCAGTATTTGTTCAGTGAGATACAACGGGGTATGGGTATACAGGCATTAAATAACAATCTGTCCCTCTACCCCTCAAAGGGCAGAATAAACAGACATGTTTGTGGAGCATGTTTTTTAATCCTGACACAGCGCGTCAAATTATGTTACACTATTGTTTGCTTAGACACAAAGGATGAGAGGGCAGTAGCTAAAAATATTTATTTTATTTTCAGTGCATCACTGCTCGGAATAAACAACTGACTTTGAGATGATTTTATATAATTAAAGGAAAGGTAAAGATAAATAAATGTAACTATTCTAAAGGTTCACTCAATGCTACGTATGAGACCCGCTACCCAGTCTTGTAGTATCAAAATTTTACTTTAATCAGTGGGAAATGGAAAAGCCTGGTGGTTCCAAGGCTGGACCTACATCGAAAGGCTAGATCGAGTTCTCAGTTGGGCAGTTTTAATTCAAGTTGTTTTCTTAAGCGAGACTCTTGACTTTCGCATTTACTTATTATTAACTTATATTGCGCTAATGTCAATATACATTTTCATCAGCACAGAAACTAAAATGTTACAAAAATCTAACTGAAAAAAATCTAATAATGAAATAATATATATGCCAAACATATGTCAATAAAATATCTAGAAATGTATAGTAGCGTAATTTAAGTACAAAAATATATATAATCTAATCTGATGTGATTCGATATTTAACAACTAAAAGCTTCTTTAAATAAATACGTCTTTAAATATTTTTTAAAAGATTCAACGATTTTGAATTTCTAATATAAAGTGGAACAACATTCCAAAGTTTTGAGGCGCTGTTTCAAAAGATCGGTCACCGAGTATGGAGTACGAGTTTGACTAATGGTCGTGATCGTGGGTCGTGGGTCGTGGGTCGTGGGTCGTGGGTGTGGGTAATACATAACAATTAATGGTTAAGAGCTCATACTTAATAATGTTAATAGTACCACTACTAATGATCAATTACTGTTATTTTTGTAGGGGAAAAGGGTTTTTTCGTAATCGTGAAGGGCCCTTTGGCTGGTTTTAAACGTAATTTGGTTACATCGCCGTGAACGTTGAATCGCCTTTTCTTCATGGAAATTGCGAAATGACTGGCTTTTTTCGCGAAACGTAACTTGAACCGTTTTTATTCTTCTTTTCCAAAAATTCATCCTGTAAGCGTCTTAAAACAAGACGTGAAACATGACTGTCATTAGCTGCCGTAAAGTAATGCAATACTTCTCGACGAACAATGAAACGTATGTTTCTTGAGTACGTCNAAGAATGTTCCATATTTGAAGATACTTATTGTGTCCTGTGAAGAGGAAAACAATTCAGAAGCTCCAAAGCCACAAGTGAACGATATCACAACGATATACTTGTTGTTTATTTCACAGAAACATTTGCTTGAGTCGAAAACTCGACTAACCAGTAAAGGAGAGGTTTTCTGCAAACAGAAAACACACTTAAAACAAACGAAATTACAATATAAACAACTGAAATGAAAACTCACCGACTGTTCGAGCTTAGGGTTTACAAACAACCACAATACACGGCAACAAAACATTTTTGAAATGAACGCGACGATTTTCCCTTTCAAAGCACATGGGCGATTGCCCGGATGTTAACGTAAACATGGGCCCGCAATGGGAGCTACAATTAGGCTCACTAAACCGAGCTGATACAATGACAAGGATTGTATAATATTTATGTATTATTATAACTAATATTTCAAATGATTATTATTATTGTTAAGTATTTATCACACCTACGACTTTTACCCACACCCACACCCACGACCCAAGACTTGTACCCACGACCCACGACCATTAGTCAAACTCGCGGAGTACATCTCCCCTTTTGGTAATTCCAGTGATCGATCATCATTACAAGATCGTAATCTGTACCTTCCGGGAGTCTTTAACTTCATTAATTCAAGTATATAATTAGGCGCAAGTCCATGAACAGACTTATGAAAATTCAGTATTATCAGTAATACTGAATTTGTCACCTACTTGCATACAGCAAGTAGGTGACAAATTCACATTCCGCTCACCATAAACAATACTTCAATAGAGAAAACTTATTCAAATGATAATTTAAACTAATTTTCTTTTGTTGGAGAAGTAATTTCAAAAACTCGAGCTTCGTGTTTTATCGGGGTTTCCAAACACTCGAAAACGAATAAAGTACTCGGCCCACGGCCTTGTGCTTTCATCAGTTTTCTCGTGTTTGGAAAACCCAATGAAATACTCGCCCTCGTTTTTGAAATATTGCTAACCCAAGAGTTCGAACCTTTGATGCCAATCCAAACTCCGCCCAACGTAATTCCACCAGAGTTGCTTGTTTCCTTAGAGGAAGTTTCATCTGACTTGCGCAAATTGTCCATACATAAAGCGGTGGGACCAGATGGAATATCGAACAAATTGTTGAAGCAATTTGCACCCGAATTAGCACCACTGATTCAAGATATTTACAATCAATCACTGGGAGAAGGTTTCGTACCTGACACTTTACAACAGTCAATTATCTCACCAGTCCCTAAAGTTTGCCTTCCGTCCTCAAAATATTAAATCAGACTTGAGACCAATTGCACTTGCAAGCTGTTTAGCAAAAGTACTATAGGGTTTTACAAACAAAAGACTGTTAGATCAGGTGTTTGACTCCATTGACCCACGTCAATATGCACGCCATGGACACTCTACAGTGCACGCATTAATTTTTTTACTACAAGCTATACACGAAGCTATTGATTCAGGTAACTGCTCTGTTTGGATAGTTTCTGCTGATTTTACTAGAGGTTTTGATATCATAGATCACTCAATATTACTAGATGAACTCAGATTGTTCAACATCGATCAAACTCTGTTTCTTTTTTTGGATACATTCCTTTCTTACGAACCGAACACAGGCTATACGTGTTGGCCCCTCCCTGTCACCATGGAAACAAGTCAATGGTGGCATCCCACAGGGAACAAAACTCGGATTAACGCTCTTTACTATTATGATAAATAAGCTCAGTCCTCAGTAATTGGCATATGCGAACGAAGTATGTTGATGACACTACTGCATTTGAGATTATTCCAAGGAACTCCGTTAGTATACCAGATGTAGTTGTCGGAGAAATCCATGATTATTGCATAGAACACAGGATGAAATTAAATCCCAAAAAATGTATAGAAATGAAGGTAAATTTCATGAAGATTTCGATTACTGCAATGCGACCTATAACTGTTGGAAATCAAGAAGTGGAGCAAGTAGGAACTTATAAGCTTTTTGGAGTTATAATTAGAGATGACCTTAAATGGAATACACACGTTGAATATGTAACTGCAAAGGCAGCTAAGAAATTATACGCTCTAAGGTTGTTGAAACGCGCAGGAGTTATGCCAGAAGATATGCTTAGGGTATACACTTGTAATATTAGATCGGTCCTAGAGTATGCTGCGGAAGTGTGGCAAGACATTCCCTCATACCTCTCGGATGCTATTGAATCCATACAAAAAGAGCCTTAAAAATTATATTCCCAAATTTTAGTTATCAAAAAGCCCTAGACCAGGCAAAATTGACTTTGTTGGTAGATCGTAGGATATCCGTTTGTAAAAAGTTGATGGCGGAAATGAGGAATGAAGTCCACCCCATATCTTTCTTAGCTCCGCAAGCTATGACAAGTTTTATACCTTATCAGTTGAGTTTTATACCTTATACCTCAGTCTAGTTTTATACCTTATCAGCAAATACCAAAGCCATAACAACAGTGAAGAGAACAAAAAGAGCAAATCACTTTTTTACTTTTAAGTATTCGTAGACTCAATTATTATTGTAATACTTACTATTATTATTGTAATACTTAAGACTTTTTCTTGTAAATAGACTTTATTGTTGGTATCTAGTAAGATTCTTATTAATGTCCTTGTAAAATTACACTGTTTATTCAGTTTGTTAACTGCCATTAGTGTTAATAAACTATCATCATCAACACGGAAACTTCCATTTTCTATGATGCCAGGGAAATTGTCGATCAGAAAGGTAAAATTTTTTGGCTGAAATAAACGAAAACTAGGTCTTAGTTATATAGACTGATGTAACAGAATAAGAAAAGCAAAGAATAAACAAAGGTTTTTTTCGAAGAGATGGTTCGTTTTCTCCAACGACAACATTTGCAAATATGTTCAGCGTGAATCTGGTAACTAACTTGAGACACGTATCTGAACTGAAAAAATGTGAAAAAGGGTGCGAATAGTTTTATCGTGATAAACATTAAAATGAAATCCTATGAAAGTATGCTTATGACAAAATACTTACATTTTCCCAGTTACAGTGACCATGAAAATTCACTTTCCTATCAGGCCCCTCGATGTTCTGTGTTTTCATCTAATTAGTGAGACCACACTGGTACACGTATCTTGGACAGTTTCCTTCATACGTGACAATAGGGACCTTAAGCAGTCAGGACGGCAACGCCAAGGAAGACTTCGATTAAAAAATTAATTTCTACTTTTAGTCAGGATTTCAAAAATGGCTGCATGAGTTTACTATCTCATAAGGCGCCACAGCTCAACTTCAGCATGATGTTTAGAAGTAGCGTTGAGTTCTAAATGGAAATTAAATTAAATTGCCGTCGCGGTTTCGGTTCGCAGACGACGCAAATTTTGGCGATTTCATGTTGTTATTTTGCATAGGACGGCTAAGAAATGTACAAAGTTTCAAAACGCACGTGCTGAGCTATTGTTCTGCCAATTAGATCTCTTGCTTTTCCACGTCCTCGTTGCTGTCGCCGTCGTGGTTGCTTAAGGTCCCTAATAAAACGCTGCTAGACGGCTGAACCTAAAGCACAGTCTGCTTAACCTATCACACTTTGCCTAGTCTGCGATCATAGTTGTATGGGTGACGTATTGCCGCCTTTAGAAGACATCGCTAAATTGAAGGAAAGCGATGTTTTCCTCTTTGGCGTCAGTTCTGCACTCTTAACAACAGAAAAAAATTGAAATAAAGAAAATCTCGGGCTGCAAAGCTTCCTCTTGTTTGGTCGTAATGGAAAACCTTTCCATGATAGAGCCCGTTTTTACATAATTCCTCTGGATGACCTTTGTGTTGTGAGATAAATAGATAGATAGACAGATAGATAGATCGTTTATTGTACAATACTTTGCAGTCGTAAAACTGAATTGCGTATTTTACAGATAACATTGGTTAAAATACATATCTAAATACAAATGCCTAAAATTATAAATATAGAATATGTATGAATATCTAAGATTAAAGTCGACTAGCTTTCTTTAAAACTTTAGGAGCTATTGTGCGCGCCCTGGGACATAGCATAAAAAGCATAAAAGAGAGAGCGTCGAAAACGTTCCGTGTGAGAACGTGGCAAATGATATATCTCTTGACGCCTTAAATTATAACTGTATTTTTTCCTTGATGGCAGAAGATGGTACAACTTATGTTCGGGATTGTTAGCAATGGAATCGAATAAATGACAACAGAGTTCAGTGCGTCTATCATAAAAAGTTGGCAGTCCTAGACTGTCAAGACATTCCCGATATGACATTTCAGGAGAAATTATGGAAAGCACACGCTTCTGAATTCTTTCTATATCCTTATTAAAATATGCCGGGAGTGCATGATGTAACACTGGAGCGCAGTATTCCAGTATAGGTCTAATTTTTGTACAATAGAAGTTCACAATGTCCTTAAGGGGAACATGGACCCTTTTCAAGAGAACAATAAAATACAGGCGCTTATTTGCTCTCTTAATGCAATCTACAATATGGTTGTTCCATTTTCAAGTCACTGGATATCGTAACACCTAATATCTTCGCACAGTCGGTGACAGGAAGCTCGTGACCATCTACCTCGAGAGGGGAGATGTTATGAAGGTTCTTCTTGAAGTCAATAATTATCTCCTTGCACTTGTCGGCGTTAAGTTGCATCTGCTGAGACCAAGACCATTCCTCCACGGCAGTAACAGCGTGTTGCACGCAGTTGTCATTACTGATTTCAATTTGTATGGATTAGAAACGCGTGATTTGTGGTCGGCTGTTGCCAACGAGCTATCAGGTAAGAAGCGTTGGACAAATTTAGCGCCAATATTGAGCAAGGAAAGGCCTTAGCGAAAACTATGAGCTGTTGGCTCCCTCAAAAGAAAACAAGAAACTAATTCAAAAAGGGCTTTTGCTGACTTGAATAATACCTAAACTGAAACAATAGATCTGAGGTAAGTTTTTTTACCTGTTTCACCCATTTTATCAGTAAGACACTTCGATTCAACTTTTTGCGTTTTTTGTTTACTTCTGTAGATTACAGAATGTTCAAAATGCTTAAGGAACTTCAGTGACTCACCCTCGGGTGAGAGAGCCTGTTTTTGATTCAGTGGCACATCTTGACGCTGAATGCGATCTTGAATTGAATCGAGAGAAGATAAAATGTAATTTCTTTGTTTAACAACATAAATGAAATCTCCAGTTAGCAATTGGAGAAATGTTCATAAATATTTTGGCCCAAATTATTTTGCCCGACATTTTCCCGGTTGCCTTTTTGATCACTGTTAGCCGCCCTATACAGCGAAAAGACAGTGTTTAGATAAACCTCTGGCCCCCTTAGCCTCG